ACACACACACACATAGTTAGTGCCGTTGAGTCAGTTATGACTCATAGTGACCCTGTAGAGCAGGGGTGTTGCTGTTGTTGTTAATTACTGGTGAGTTGGTTCTGACCCATCGTGACCCTCTATATGGTTTCTAAAGAGCAACTGGTGAGTTGAACCACCGACCTTGTAGTTCAGATGGCTTTGCAGTCTGGTGCATTAACTTACAGCGCCACACCAGGAATAGCAGGGGTGGGAAACCTTTTTTCTGCCAAAATTTTTAGCATCATTCGCGGGCCATGCAAAATGATCAACTTAAAAATCAGCCTGCTATTTTTAGTCGAACACTTGATTAACTCACCCGAATGTGATGCTGGATCTGCAGTTGCCTTGGCATGGCCAGACCAAACAATTTCTCCACACGGTCAATGGGCCGGATGTTCCCCAGCCCTCATTTCCAGCCTTGGGAACCCTGTACAAAGTTCCTGGGGGTCAGAATTGACTCAGTGTCCGGGAGTTTTACGTTTAACATAAAATGTGAGAGTAGCTATTATTATTGTTAGCTACAAGTTGGGGTTAGTCAGGGCTTCCTTTTTAGTTTCCCTGACTCCTTGTCTGTAGGGGAGGGATAAGGTCTTGGCTTGTATTCCTTCCGAGAGCCCCAGGTTAATTTTAATCTAATCACTGTTAATGCAAAAACTGAATTGCAGAATGAAATGTTCTATAGCATTTGGGCTAGGTTCTAAAGATCCTCAGTGCCAAATCCCCATTGTTCAGATGAAGAAACCGAGGCCCACAAACCAGGGAGATGTGATGGGGCACACACGACTCTGAGTGAGCCATTCCAGGATTTCTGTTCCCTACAAGTCCCAAGTTTGCCACCCAGTCTCCTGTCACCCCTGTCTCTTTCTTGGGATTGCTTATGACCTCCCTTCCCACACCCCCAACAAATAACTCACTGTTGGCTTCTTTATCTCACTTTCAGAAAAAGTTAGAAAACCTCAAGAGCTTAGACCTTTTCAATTGTGAGGTAACCAACCTGAATGATTACCGAGAAAACGTCTTCAAGCTCCTCCCGCAACTCTCATATCTCGATGGCTATGACCAGGACGACAAGGAGGCTCCTGACTCGGATGCGGAGGGCTACGTGGAGGGTCTGGATGATGATGAGGACGATGATGATGGTGTGTTGGGGGGACTGTGGACGGGGGTCGGCTGTTTTTCTTTGTTTCTTGTTGCTCCAAAGAAACCTTGGAGTCGTCTTCGACTGCAGAGAAATTTTGTAATGAACCATCTCTCTGAAGTTATTCTCGCTTTAATTTTTCCCTTTCTCAAAACTGCCCAGGGAATGAGTTTGACGTGGTCTCTCAGTATGACCCCAGGGATCCTGGAATTGAAGGTGGCTGCAGGCAGGCCCTCAGGGAGGAGCCAGGTGTTCCCGTCACACTACAGGCAGCTTCCCTCCCTGCATGTCTTCATGACCAGGGTCAAGCTGAGAATTGAGACACTTGCCCAATTACAGGCATCCCCCAGTATCTGAAAGTAGAGTGTCTCTGAAACCTGTGTAACCCAAAATGGCACAAAGCAATTGCTGTTTATTTACATGGGGAAACATTTTGAGTGTTCCCAGCCCCCCAAAAGTCACCTACCAGCATCTGAAGCAGCACTAGCGTGGTAGAAGCAGGACTGAGGTGGTAAGCACACAGCCTATATAAAGTAGAAAGAAGGTGTGTTCAGTGTCGTTCACGACTCACACTGTCCTGGTCACATGCGGTCTAACAAATGTGCTTTTCACCTTTTTTTTGTAAAAGGGAAAATTCCTCTTTGAGTTTCTTTTGGTTAGCGAAAGCAAGCCTTGACACATGGCTCTGCTTTTCCTTGTTAAGTTGGAAGTATTTTGCAAGATAATTCAGATACCCCTTTACCAGGGATCTTGTGATGTGGCCGAAAGGGCATGGGGATCCCGAGACCTGGTTGTTAGACCTGGCCCTCCCACTAATGTGATGTGAGGCCTTAAGCAAGTCACTTCTCTATGCCTCAAGTTCCCCATCTTTATCAAGACGTTCTTTCTAAATGAGTTGACTTCTTGGCTCAGGCCCTCTAACTTGTTCCTCTGTTGACTCAACTTCCACAAGGAAGCCTTTACTTTTGCTAAATTGCCAGGAGGGCGAAAGTTTCCTGGCTGTCTCTTAGCCGTTTTTATTATCACATACATCGGCACTGTGTTCATGAGCGCTAAGAGTTTGACATTGGTGGATATGGGAGGGTCATGGGCTTCCTGAAGACTCTGCCCCCTTCTGCCCGTCCCACCAGCTGGGGACCTGTGCTGGTGTAAGGGGGCTGCCAGCTCACCACCAGATGTTCTTTCCTCACAGAGGAAGAATATGATGAAGATGCTCAGATAGTAGAGGATGACGAGGATGAGGATGAGGAGGAAGAAGGTGAAGAAGAGGATGTGAGTGGAGAGGAGGAGGTAAGGAGCCTGGACTGGACTGGACGGGGCTTACTCTCACCTTGAGTCCTCCCCCTGGTATGGTGCGTGAGACGCTCACACTAGGAACTCAGCCCAAGAGCTCTGGTTGAGGATTTCTCCTTTCTTGTGGCCAGGGAAAAAGTCTCTGGTCTTAGGCAAGCTTTGGGGGGAGGTTGGGTTAGGAGTAGGGGATAGAGGATTCTGAAGGCAGGTAAAAAAGGCAACTCACCTGCCCAGGTAAGCCTGGCCCTCGTTTCTATGTGAAATTCCCATTCTCTGCCCGTTTGCATATATGCAGTTCGTGGATTTTCACTGAGCATTGCTGTGAACTGGTAGCCGATAGGGAACCCTGCTACATCCCAAATCAGAGTGACAAGGGTCGCCTGTGAACAACGGCAGTCATGCCTCAGGAGTGGCCAGTTCCCAGTTATTTAATGAGGCCCTGAGATGTCAGCCCGGGTTAATACAAGGGGGCTTCAGAGGATTTGTGGGAAAATTCCATTAGCTTTTCATTCCATTTTTCCATAAACTTGTTGAAGCCGCTCCCCAGTAAGTGCAGAGGTTACGGGCACAGTCTTGGTGGGGCTGAATCCCAGCTCTACCACTTGCTAGCTGTGTGTCATTGGGCAAGTTACTTGACCTTTCTGAGCCTGTTTCTTCACCAGTCTGGTGGTTATCCTATTTCACTGGGATTTTAATAGGGCAAAATAAAATGTAATTAAAATAGGACTGGTTGGCAGAGGCTGAGTGTTAAACCATTTATGAGCTTAGTCTGTCTCACCTTTCCCAAGGTGGCGTTTTATATTTTGATTTCTGACTCTGTATCTATCAGTCGTTTTCCATGACTTTTTCAGAATTCTAAATCTGCTTTTGCTAATGGCCAGTTAGACCTAGAGAGATTTAAAATGACAACAACACGCCTGTCTTTCCCCTTCCAGAGGCCCCTGCCTTCTTCCTCAGTTTCCTGTCTCTCTCAATTGAGATCGCAGACATCCGCCTGCGTCAAGACTCCCCTGGCTTGGGTCACCCAGCCGCCTCACCTGGGAAGAGCACATCTATGCAAATAGGGAATCAGATGATGGGCTTGAGTCTGTGTCTGGTTTTGGGCTGGGTATTTTTCCCTTCTGTCTAAGCTGCTGTGCTCCCCTTTAAAGACTAATGTGAGTGTTGTAGAAAGAAAGACCGTGAAAGACAAGTCCTCCTAGGTGGGGACAGGGCAGCCTGTGGTGTTGGTGACTGGATTTCTCATCTTGCCCTTCCTGTCACCAGATGCAGTGTGCAGCAGGGCCTTTTCTGTAGTAATCTCATTGACTACCTGCCGATTTCCAGCTTCCCGTAAAAGAAAGTTTATACACAAAAACAGAGCCTTAGCAAGAAGGCTGATAAAGGGAACTGTTTGACATTATAAAAGAATACTTCCCTAGGCAAAGAAGTTCATCACCAAGTTCTTCTTTAGCAGTATACTGCGCCTGGTGCCTTCGGAACATTGTCCAATATCCAGAAATTCAACAAGCACAAACATTCAGGAGCAGGATAAAACACACCGGTGCTGCATTGCTGAATCTCAAGAGTGTTAGGAATGCTTTCCATCATTGTAGGTTAGCTGTGGTGCCTCTGGACAAAGGCCTGACGATTTACTTCCAAAAAAATTCCCCACTGAAAGTTTATGGAACACAGTTCTACTCTGACACACATCAGGTCGCCCCGAGTCGAAATATCCTCAATGGTACTGCCTTTCCCTCTCCTCTCCATCTCCAGGTGACCAAGTCTGCAGGATGGTGTGGGCATTGGGTAGGGTAGGGTTAGATTTGATCTCTGATTCTGGATTTGCTGCAAGTGGAGTTTTACCTTGAAGTCAGGACTAAATTAAGGGCAGATGGGCAGATGGCCTTTGTTACAGGGGCTAAGCTGCCATTGTTAGAGAGGCTTGAGGTGATGGAAGAATTCTTACTCTGAGAGCACCATCTTCAGCCCCCTAACAGCATTTGCAGATACAGTATATGATGTGATTGCTTTCTGTGGAAAGGGATTCAAAGCTTTCTGCAGATTCTCAAAAGAGGCTCCTGATCCAAAGTAAACTTAAGAACCTCTGTTTTGCATTTGTCCTGAGATGACTGGTCCTTGATTTAGGGCTTCAGGAGACTAGGCTGGAACCCCAACGTATGGAGAATATTTCTTATGTTCTAATGTCTGTCTTCTCTCCTAGGAGGATGAAGAAGGTTACAATGACGGAGAAATAGATGACGAGGAAGATGAAGAAGATCTTGGTGGTAGGGAGGCATTCTTCTCGTTGGGAGCAGGTTGACCCCTTCAGTTGGCATGCGGTTGTCCAGGCCCTGAGAGCCCGGGCAGCGGATGGAGTACTCCCTCCCCCTATAGCTCTCTGCCAGGGATGACAGGCCTCTGGTTACCAAGCTCCCTAGATGTGTGACCCCTGGGTGCTCTGTGGGTGGGTTAAGATAAGGGGACGCAGGACCCGTGCTTAACCTAAATACTTTTTCTTACTCTTCCAGAAGAAGAAAAGGGTCAGAAGCGAAAACGAGAACCCGAAGATGAGGGCGAAGATGATGACTAAGCGGAATCACCTATTTTGAAAAATTCCTATCGTGATTTGACTGTTTTTACCCGTGCCCCCTCCCCCAAATCCTGACCCCCGAAACTTATTTTTTTCTGATTGTAACGTTGCTGTGGGAACGAGAGGGGAAAAGTGTACTGGGGGTTGCGGAGGGAGGGAGGGCGGGAGAGGGTGGAATAAAATACTATTTTTACTGCCACTCTTTATTTTCCCCCCCTACTTTTTCTTTGTGTCTGGTTCTGCCCCTGTAAATGCAATAGCTGAGTACAAGCTGAGTGAGCATTTGTTCCTTACTCAAAGAGGATGGTTTGGAAGGTCTTTTAATAAGTCCTGGTATTTCTCAAATCTCTCGCTGGTCAGAAGCCTGAAGCTGGCCTCAGTGGGTTACTAATCAGAACCCATGAGAAGGCTGAGCACCAACCGAGTCTAAGTCTTGTTCTGTGTCACGCAACTTCCACATTTCTTGGGCCTGCTAGAGGCACTGGACGCCTAGGTTTGTAAATAGCAACCAAAAGGCGTATTTTGGCACTGGTTTGGGGATATTCCCCGTTTCTCCTCCTCCTCCTCCCCCTTCTCAGATGGTGGTGGGCTTTGTTCTATGAAGACTGATGTTTTCAGCCAGAGAGCTGACAACAGTAGGCTTTATGGGTTAAATTAAAGTACAGTGAATTTGATCATTACAATTGGAGAAGATGCAAACCCTCAAACTTCAACCTCTTTATAGAAGGAAACACACACACAACAAATGAAAGTCTCCAATCTTGGTCTGTAACATGTAAGAACACTATGTTTTACAAAATGACAAAGAATTCTTCCACATGTACTTCTGTGCTTAAAACACTTTGACAGACCTAAGTGCGGGAGTCATTGCTGCATGTCGGCTGGGTTTATTTTTACTCACACCCGAGCACGGAAAAACTAATGCAAAATTGTATTTTCTTACCTAGTGAAAATCTGAAATGACTGCAAATTCCTAGTGAGTGTACAGGTTGGCTTTCATGTCCCTCCTCTGGATTGCTTTAGAAGTGACGTGTGACTTCCTAGCCTGTTTCATCTGTATAAAGATCATCTGCACCAGTTCTCCACCCCTCAGAAGAGCCAAACTTTGAGTTTTATGTCTGTTTGTCATTGATAAATTTCAATAAATCTTTTTATACAATTTTTTTGGGAATGACTTCTTTGAGTCCAACAATTCCATGATTTTCAAAGCTGCATTCAGATAGCCTGCTAGGTAATTGGGGGTAATAGGGTTTGGGGGGGTTGGAAACAGTAGGCTTCAGTTTTGTTACCAGAAATAAAGCATGCAACCTGACTCTAAATTAGGAACTCCATGGAGTCCAGGTGTGGCGCTGTGGGCTAAGGTGTCAAACTGCAAGGTCGGTGGTTCAAGCTCACCAGCTGCTCCTTAGAAACCCTATACAGGGTCGCTAAGGGTCAGAATCGACTCTGGCACTTAACAACATGGTATGCTATTGACCTTAAAAAGGTTGCGTAAAATTTGTTAAGAGCTGTTCAGTCCTTTTTGATTCATAGCCAGTCTATATAGGGTTTCTGAGGACTGGCTGGTGGGTTTGAACTGACCATCTTGCAGTTTTTACGGACTTTGTGGTCCAGTGTTTTTTCCTACAACCAGAAAAAAACACCAAAACAGTCACCAAAAAGTTGTAGCTTGGGCCAACCTTGAACTTTATTTTGAATGTCCCATTTTGTTTTTCAGACTGATAAAAGAATGTATGCTTGAAAACCTCAGAAATTCATAAAACAATTTCACAAATAGATTCATTTGTACGTAATGTCTTGGTCCTTGGTTACTTAACAGATTGAGATTTCTTTCTAAATAGTCTTCAGAAACAATTATGTGAACTTATTAAATGCTGTCGAGTCATTTCTGACCCTGCATAGGGTTTCCAAGAAGCAGTTGGGTTTGAAGTATTGACTGCAATTAGCAGTCAGTTAAAGGAGCTCTGGTAGCGTAGTGGTTACGAATCGGGCTGCGAACCTTAAGGTCAGTGGTTCGAAATTACCAGCCGCTCCGCGGGAGAAAGATGAAGCTTTCTACTCCCGTAAAGATTTACACCCTCGGAAACCCTGTACAGGGTCGCTATGGGTCGGAACCGACTCGACGGCACTTAACAACAACAACAGCAGTCAGTTAACTGACTACATAATTGTTAAAGGCCGTTGAGTTGGTTCTGACCCATAACAACCCTGTATAGGGTTCTCAAAGAGTGGCTGGTGAGCTTGAACCACTGACCTTGTGATTTAAATCGACTTGCCAGTGCATTAACCCACAGCATCACACCAGGACTTCAAAATAGTTGATGTATATTCTGGTTTGCTTAATTCTAACCAAATGGTTGGGATGCTGGTGGTGCTGTAGATTAAGCATGTACTAATAACCTTAAGGTTGGTAGTTTAAACCACCATCCACTCAAGAAAAATCAGGCTTTTTGCTTCCAGAAACATTTACAGCCTCAAATGTCCGAACCAACTTGACTGCACTGAACAGTCAAATGGTCAGGTGTTTCGGTTGTTCCTATCTTACCAGTACGGTGAGTTCCCTGCAGTAGCGCTCTTGGATAAGTACTGGACTGCTAGCCACAAGGTCAGCCGATCAAACTCACCAGCTGCTCCTCCGAAATCCTACATACAGGGTGACTAGGAGTGGGAACAATCGGACAGTGCTTCACTGTTAACTACAGTGAACGTTCTGCTATAGAAGTGATTGCTGATTGCTCATACTTTGGGTTTCATAGTACAAACTCTTAGAAGCAGTCTTGGACCAAAGATGAAATTGGTTTTGTCCTCCTTGCTTTATAATTGTTAAGTGTCGAATCGGTTCTGGCCCATAGCAACCCTGTATAGGGCTTCTGAGGAGCAACTGGTGAGCTTGAACCGGTGACCTTGTAGTTCAAAGCGACTTTGCAGTGCAGCACATTAGCCCACAGCACCAATCACACCAGTACTCCTCAGTGAATAAATGGCAGGATAAGATTCAATGCATATCAAATAGAAGGATGTCAGTAGTGGAAAAAACTGCAAGCCCTGGTGTGGCACTGTGGGTTAATGTGCTGGGCTTCTAGGTCAGCAGTTCAAGCTCACCAGCCGCTTATTGGAAACCCATACAGGATCACTATGAGTTGGAACCAACTCCACGGCAATTAGTGATAAAAGAATGGTTTAGTTCTGACTCCGCAACCCACTATAGGGTTTCTAAGAGTGACTGGTGGGTTTGAGCCACCAACCTTGTGGCTCTGCTAGCTAGTTCAGTGGTGAAATGTTGAAAGCAAATGAATATTCATAGTTGTTAAGTGCTGCCCTGGAGTCTATCCAGACTCAGCGATCCTCTAGGGTTTCTGAGACAATTTTAAAGGAACAGAAAGCCTCATCTTTGTCCTGCAGAGTGGCTGGTGAGCTCGAACCACTGACCTTGTGGTTTGTAGTCCAGTGCTTATCCTATAGAACCACTGATCTCCTGTATTCTTAATAAGCACTATGAAAATATCTCAAAAAATATGCACAGGAGGGAGATGGGAGCCAAAATTGCTTACTAGAATTCAATAAAACAAGGAAAGAGACCTGTATGGTGCTGTAGGATAAGCACTTTCCCAAGGTCAGTTTGATCTGACTCGATGGTACTTAACAACAATAAAGTACAGACTAGGCTTAAAACAAAGAATGGCAGAAGTCCCTTAGTAATTACAGTGAATATCAATGAAATACTTCAGTCCAAAGGGAAAGTAGACCAAAGGTTTATAAAGGTTCTGAGGACTTAGGTCAGTTTACTGTGGGATTTTATACATACACACATATACAGCATCAAAACCCACAGTTGGCCAGGGGTTTGTACTCCCGGTAGCATGCGTGAAGAGAGACCCAGCCTTCCTAGGCAACACTCATCTTTGTGGTTGACATCTGGCTTTGTGTGTGTGAGGTGAGGAGGTGATGAAGCAGGTACTGTAGTACTGGGACTGTGGAGATGAATTAGGTAAGTCTGAAATGGAAAGAAACACGAAGCTGGTCTCCATGACCCTCCAAAGGAATTTTAGCAACCTATTGACTTAAGGGCATAATGAATGAGGGAGGAAAGCTCTATTTTGTACAAATCATATTAGATAGTTAGCAACCCTCGAGGACAGTCTTGTGCCCATTGTACAGATGAAAATGGTTGGGTCACTTGGAAGCTCAGCTAGGGTGAAGCTCAGGACTTGGGGGTGGGGGTTATTTCTGTTGTATAGAGCTGATGAACAGCAAGGGGAGAAGAAACTCAACCAGAGAGAGAGAGAGAATGAGTAAAGTAAGAGGTAGTCTTTACAGAGCTACATGCAGCCTCATTCATCAGCTAGAATTCTCACAGCCACTGGATATAGATAGATACCATTACTGTCCTTACACACTGGATCCCAGACTGATTCCATACATTTAGAAGAGCAACACCAAGGTTCAAACCCCATGTGTCTGATCCCAGCTCCTCCCTCCAACTCTAAACTAGAGTCCCTCCAGGCTCTCTGGATCTTC